AAGAGGAGAGAATCAAACATACCACATATTCTAGTTTAAAGCTGTTTTCACTGTAATTAAGCTTTAGGAAAGATATTCAGCTTTTGGAATGGGATAAATTAATACTGCACACAAGCTGGAATGCCACCAATTCCATTGGAAAAGCAGCATGGTAATCTAAGGCAGTGGTTCCCAAATTGGGGTCCACAGATGTTCTTGGACTGCAGTTCCCAGAAGCCTCCACCACTTTCTGTGCTGGCCAGGATTTCTGGGGGTTGCAGTCTGGAGATCCCAGTTTGAGAACCACCGAGCTAGGATATGCCCAGAAGGCCAGACTGGAACCTTACAAGGGCCACACTGAGCCCCAAGAACTGAAGTTGTGAAAAAATATTGTCAGTACACAGCATCCATTCAGTGCATTTGGCTAAAACTACAAGAGTTCTCAAAATGTGGGCTTGGCCATGGGACACCAGAATGGGATATGCAAAAACCAGGGCGCCTTAGGAATCTGAGACATGCTTTTGGGAAAAGTTTCAAAGTTCATCACTGAGGACTTTCCAAGAACCATATTGTGTGCATAGAAATTGTCCTTCTCCCAAACTATGTCTTCCACATGTATTGCAGCACAACGTCTAATTTTCCCCAGCCAGCATGTCTTGCATAATTTGCACAGGATGTCACTTGGGTAAGTCTCTTGCTTTGTGACAACAACAACAAGAACAGACCCTTTGTGTAGTTTTAGGAAGAGGCTATTGGTATCACAACTCACTTTCAGAGCCGGGATCAGATATTTTGCAGCTGAAGTTAGAGGAGCAAATGGTATCCAAGACTAGGACAAGTTGTATAGAATTCAGATCAAATTAAACATCAGTTTGCTGCTCTTTGATGCTTTCAAAGTAGCTGCCTGCTCTGGCTGCCTCATTCTACCTATTAGGAGAGCCAGTCCCATATAGCTAGAGGCAGTGTAAAATTGATATTGCAGTCCACTGAACCTCACATGCCACAACAGACCCATTTGTCTGAGGAACAAATCATGGATGTTGAGCAAGGAATGATGATGGGGAAGCAACAAAGTTCAGAAATGGACCTCAAATTTAGGAAGAAAGAAAAAGGTAGTGGTTGTTGTGGGTTTTTCGGACTCTTTGGCCGTGTTCTGAAGGTTGTTCTTCCTAACGTTTCGCCATTCTCTGTGGCCGGCATCTTCAGAGGACAGCACTCTGTGCTCTGGTGTAGTTTGCTTGGGAGTCAAAAAGAAAACAAAACACACATCACTCCCAAGTGAACTACACCAGAGCACAGAGTGCTGTCCTCTGAAGATGCCGGCCACAGAGAATGGCGAAACGTTAGGAAGAACAACCTTCAGAACACGGCCAAAGAGTCCGAAAAACCCACAACAACCATTAGATCCCGGCCGTGAAAGCCTTTGATAATACAAGAAAAAGGTAGTTAGCCTGAGTCATTAACCTCTGCAAAGACATCAAGTTCTTTTATGGGTACTCTGAAGTTGTTCAGTAAGATGAAAGTCTAAGCAGAAGACCGTTTTTCTCAAGACTTGTGTTAAAAGGGTAGTAGGAACCATGTGGACAAAATTTCTGCTATTTGCACATGTTCTTTTGCCACATTAGACAGTCTTTTGGTGTTCCGGAGATACTGTAATTGCAAAAAGATTACTAGTTGATTGCCTTGGGGAAATGGCTTTTGTTCTCTTTGCCAAGACTGACAAGCCTGAGTGAAAGATCAACTTTGTGTGGCAAGTTCCTTGTGAGAATTTAACTCTTCCTTCCCAAAATGCACATTCCTGTGAGAGATGGAAGTTTTGAACAACAGTTATGAACATCTTCTATTTGTCTTGAAACCTCCAAGTTTCTGAGCTGAGACTTCATCCATCTTCCAAAATCCTTGTTTCCCTCATAATATCTCACCTAGTTTAAGAAGTAATTTCCCTTTTACGTATGGGCAAGAATTACAGTTCTCTTACCTTTTGATAAGTGGTTACTTAAAGGATAGGACATTAAAAGATAAATGTGGAAGGAACCAGAACTGATCTCTTTATTTGTTTGGGCAAAGGGTATTGGTTGTTTAATTCTATAAAGTCTGAATTTATATTCCCGTATTTCTTAGGAAAGTATTGCCACCTTGGGTTCTTTTGAGGAGAAGGGCAAGGGTAGAAATATTTTAAATAAAATAAATAAATAAATAAATATAGCTGAGTTCAAGGCTGGTGGGAAAAAAGCAAACATTCCCATTGGCCAAAGGAATGACAGAACTTTCTCTTGATTGGTAGATTTTGGTGTAGTGCTACATTACTTTGTTTTGCAGGTGAGGCCTGATTGGGTATTGGGGTTCTAAGGGGCAGTTGGGCAGTTAGAAGAATGAAATGGAAAGCTTGGTGAAAAGGGAAGAGATTTGCGAGGCAAGTGATTAAGAAGGAAGCACCATCAACTGTCTCTGTCCAAATGGGATGTCTGATTGAGATGGCCTTTATAAGCTTGCCCTCCTCTGAGCAACTCAGGATGGCATCCAGTACTCCACTCCTTTATCTTGTTTTAATATTGTAAGCAACTTTGGGTCCTCTCGGGAAGAAAGGTGATGTATGTATGTATGTATGTATGTATGTATGTATGTATGTATGTATGTATGTATGTATGTATGTATGTATGTATGTATGTATGTATGTACGTACAGTATGCATGTATGTATGTATGTGCGTGTGTGCGCATGTGCGTGCATGTATATGTGTGTGTCTCTCTGTGTGTCTGTGTATGTATATATGTATGTATGTATGTACATACGAATGAACAAACGAATGAATAAATGAATGCCTGATGAAGTAGATTAGGTTGAGAGATACTGACTTCACCACATTCAATCACAGTGTTTTGTGGCGCACCAGCTTGATTTTGGCTCTGTGTTCTGCCTCCAGTAGTAAGGGTGAGGAGAAGGCAATCTGTGGGCCTATAGTTCTCAAGGCCCAGTTTTTACAGGGAGTCAGTATTCCTGGACCCCTTATAGAGTGGTGATTCTTAGGGGCAGGGGGAGATTTGTGGATCTTGCTTACCTCTATCTTGCACTTTGGCTTTTTCAGAGCCTTTTTGGGCAGCTTCATCCATATACCTGATGGTAAGGCTGGCCTGGGGTCCATTCATCAGTAACTGATAGTATCTATTTTCATCTGAAACTTCATTTTGAACGATAACTCTGGGAGACTCAAGAATGAGATGTTGTAAGGAAAGAGATCAAAGTAGTACAAGCCAAGGTAATAAAAATTCTCCCTACCAAAATGGATGTTTCTTCTTTTCAAAGGGAACATCTGTCACTTCCTTGTGGGATGGGTGGATGTCATGGGGACCAATGTGATCCAAGCATGCCACATCTATTGATATACTGGGCACCAAAGTTCAAATCCTCACTCTAACCTTCTCCAGTCTATACACCTTGTCACCAACTGGCTTTCAGACTGGAGAACAGAAGGAGGAAAGAGCACTCAGGATCTCCACCATTTTTGCTAAGGGACTAGAAACCACGAACAGTCTCTCAATTGCTGCCTGATGGCAGCTATTCCATCTGTATCAAAGTCAAATTAGGTATTGAGGAAAATGCTTCCCTCCCTCCTATCACAATGTTTCCTCTTCAGGCATACAGTTCTCTTCAGACATGCAAATGAAACCTGTGTTTAAACTTCCATACACCAATCAGAAACCAAAAGCAACTTAATTTGCACCATATGGATGGAGGGAAACTCATCAGGATAAACCTGTGGCTTTTACCTCTGAAAGGTGCTGTCTTTCTAACAACATGCTAACATTTTCATCATCTTCTGCCCATATTAGTGATACTTGTAAACTGTTCCAGTTTTTTTTAAAAGGGGGGGGAATAAAAAATAAATAAATACAAAAAATAAGGCGCTCCACTGGATTAACTGGCCAAACTGTTCATGACACTAAACATACCACTTGCACTTTTGTGAGCGTTTTCAAAATAATAATTAGAGGGTATGGGGACATGCTCAGAATCAGTACCTTCATTGTGTTCGTCCCCACCCCAGTTTGTCACAAGCTTTTTGCCCTTGCTCTCTCTCTCTCTCTCTCTGTGCTGTCATGTCAATTCTGACCTATGGCAATCCTTTTAAAGGTTTTCTAGGCAGAGAATACACAGAAGTGGTTTACCATTCCCTTCTTTTGGGGGGACATCCTGGGACTATGCAGCTTGCCCATGACTACATGGTCTGCCTCTTCGCACAGGAGGCACAGTGAGGAATTGAATCACAACCCTTGGCTCTGCAGTCCGATACCAAAACCAACGAGCTATCCAGCCAGAATATAGTTCCAATGAATATTGCCTTAGAAGGCTCTGTCAGCGCCAGAGAGAAACTCTCATTGGCGCCAGTCCTGGGAGTGGAAAATGAATGATGAAACCTCAGACTTAATGACACAAATGCCCTTTCTGTTTCATTAAACATGGGATTATAATAATATAAAGTCGCTCTTGGCAGTCATCATTGTTGTGCTTGAGTGAGCTCAGAAAAAGGAACATCACATGGGTTTTCACCACTCACGGTGAGTGGAGGCATTATTGAAAAGAAGGAGGAAGAAAGGCGGCCTTTTGTTTCAAAACACAAGGGCAGTCTTTGTCCACCGGGGTGACCTTTGGGTCAAACATGGCTCCCATCCTAGTCTTCTAACCAAAAGGTAGGACATGTTCCTCCCTAAGCAGAGTGTAAGCGGCAGGCACACCCTGACCCAATGCTTTAAAATGTTTGTGAGCTACTTGTGTCTCTCTTAAGACTCTGGCTTCCATGATCTTTCACCATTGGCTATGCTGGCATCAGCTGATGAGAGCTGTGTTTCAGCAATATGTGGAGTTTCATAAGTTTTCTGCCCCTGTTCTAAAAATTCTTGGCAAGCTACATCTGCTAATGGTCTCACCTATGTCGCTATTAAATGTGGAGGAGACCTGTCCTCTGTTTCATCTGCACACCTAAACATTAGCTCCAACTTTCATCAAATCTCCTTCCTTCACAGTTTTGTCTGAAGCTGGCCCTGAGTCTGCCACTGCCCAAGCAGGGATGGTACCTCATCCCAAAAAGGGTGGGGTCTCTTTGAATGAACCAGTGGATTTCAGGTAGTTTGCTGGGAGAGGAACCTGAGGAAGTAACTAAGGAACTGTCTGTGGTGGCCAGATTCTGTTGGTACAGCTATTTTCAGCTAGAAGAGGACCAAGTTGCATCTTCCTGCAATGAAGCTGTTCAAGACACAGAACCTGTTGGGGAAAAATGAGGGCTGCAATTCTAATTCAGCACTAAAGATTACTGGATACACAGAGGTTCAGACCCAGATTTTTGAGAGCAACATCTCATGTTGTGTCTATCTAATTTCTAATGAAATGTGCAAATTTTGTAAATTTTTGTTTTGGTTTATTCAAACAAAACAACAGAATTCTCACTCAGCCCAAGGCCCTGATTCTTGCAATGACACTGCAGTTGATAGGCTTCTCTTTGAACCCTCCATGCTTGCTAATGAAGCAACTAGAGGACATGTTAATGATTTCTCCAGTATTATTGTGGTCTCTCAGACGTCATCTCATTTTGTGCAACAACACATGCCAATTGTGAAACAATATTCTATGTGTTTCAAACTGACATGGAGACGAATAAGAAAATGGATTGCGATATTTGTCAGAAATGGTTGATTCGTTAAATATTCATCCCTTCATAGCTCCGTGTATGCTGTGAGGTTGAGGCCATCATCAGTGGTATTAGGGTTAAATCATCACAGATTTTGGAACAAATGCAACTTATATACAATACAATAAACCCCAGAATTGCTAAAGGAAGCCTTCAATATTTATTGACATTAATATGGGAGTAGCAACCAGTGACAGTTGGAAAGGCAAAGATTAACGTACTGTTTATTATCTTCCAGTGATGGCAGCACTTGAATGTTTTTTTGTAGTTGTTGGAAGAAGATGAGGCCAAGCAAAGCTTATAAAAACAGGGAGCAAGATGCACTTTCTTCACACCTGTCAGATTCCGTGACTGAGCGCAGTGATGGCTTCTTCTTTTATTTTCTTCATTTGGGCATTTCTGCTACTTTCTGCTGCATGTCAAGGTAAGAAACATGAAAACTGTTCCTTCTGGTTCTTGGTGTGTCACAGATCCCTTCCTTCCATAAACTCCTTTCTCAGCTATTCAGCTGTCTGTTAGCTATGATTTCCATGTCGAAGATTTCCATGTTGCTGAGATATAAAGCAGGAAGACGTGATGATCATCCCTCCCCAGTTTCTGCTCATAAGCCATGGACTGTTCCTACCCCACTGTTTTTCCTGTTGTTTTGACAGAATATGACTCACCCCATACAACTCCAGCTCTAATGTCAAATTGGCCTACACGGATCATTTTTGTGCACCAACTGAAGTTTCCTAAGACCAACCTTCAAGGGCAGCTCCATATATATATATTACAGTAGCCAAGCTTGAATGTTATTAGTTGTGGTAAGGGCATTCATTCTCAGGAGGAAGAACAACTGATACACTCTGTGGAGCTGGGAAAGGGCACTCGGAGCCATTTCCAATCTTGTTCCTTTTTGTCACAGAACACATTGTCTCTGAAGCAGTGTTTTCCAACTTTGGGTCCCCAGATGTTCTTGGACTAAAACTCCCAGAAGCCTTCACCACCAGCTGTGCTGGCCAGGATTTCTGGGAGTTGTAGTCCAAGAACATCTGGGGACCCAAGGCTGGGAACCACTTCTCTAAAGGGGTTTGCGTGTTCATGGTGGTGGTGATGGAGGAGATGTTGGTGGTAACAATGATACCAGGTAGTAAATTGGCTTTCTCAGTTCTGTTATACCTTCTAACCAGACTTGTGACTTGCCTAGGGAAGATGGAACTGTCTCTCTTCACCAGGAGGCAAGGGTGCAAGTCCTCATTTAAAAAAAAGAAGATGAGGGGAATGTGGTGCCTCCCTAAAAAGGAAGAAAAAGTTTATGCTTTCAAAACGATGAAAAGCGAAGAGAAATAATAGAGCTGGGAGATGTTGCCATTTATTTAACCCTCACCACAAGATTCACCTCCAGATGTCAGTGTCCTTTAAATTCTGCTGCCCTGGGGCAAAGTCTCAGTTGCCTTGCCTTACTTACAGACCTTTTTATTATACAATATCTACTTAGTGTAACATAGCTTCTGTTACTTTCCTTGTTTCTCTTGTTTCTTTTCCAGAGCCTCCCCCCTGTGTCTTTCCCTTCATTTATAGGGGCATGTATTACCCTTCATGTACCACTGAGGGTACTGGCCAGGGTCGGCCATGGTGTGCCACAACTGAAAATTATGATCGAGATCGCCAATGGAGGCCGTGTGCTGTGACTGGTGAGAGGGATAGCATCCCATCAGAACTACCGTCCTATGGGGTCATGAGCTGACATATACAATGCTGTTATTTTTCACATGATGACATGTTTTATTTGAAGAAAGGAAGCAGAGTAGGATTCTGCTATTGAGTCCAGAAAGGCTGTGGGACTGACCTGTGGTACCACTATTGGCCCCTATTAGTACAGGCTGTTATGTTAGTGTGATAAAATGGCGGCAGAATGGGAGAAGACCTTTTTTTGTTTCTTTTCCATGTTAGTGAATTTTCATATTTATTGTCTATATGAGACAGGCAGAACAAAATCCATGGCACTCCTTGTTTAGCTTTCTCTGTAAGGGAGGTTATTCTGAAGGCTCTAGTTACAAATTCACAGAAGGTTAATGGAGGGTATATTCAATAGAGTCCAGTATAAAAACACAAAACATTTCTAAAAAATGCAGTGCTACTCTACAACCCAAAATATATGTGAACAAATGATTTATTCATAGTAAATAAACAACAAACAGAAACTTGGGGTGCTTTGGTTTAACCCAGCAACAGTATTTTTTTTAAAAAAACTTTATTGCCATTAAAAAAAGAACAATCAAAGTAAGTAAATAATTATCACAATGTAAGCACATAACCAAGATAACTTTCTATTATCTCTTATGCAAAATAATAAGTCTTTAACATCTTTATTTCCTTCCCAGAGACCTTTGAGTAGTGTGGGCGGCATATAAATTAAATAAATAAATTAATTAATTAAATAAAATTTCCACCAGATATTTATTTTCTTTGCAATCTTAATAATACCTTTCTTAATTCTTCTTTTATAGCAGTTTTATCTGCTTTACTTTGTTTTTTTTACCGCTATCAATGTTGAGAGCAGTTCTGTATCTAATTTATGCCTGAGTCACTTGGTACAGGTTTGAAATCTTTCTTCCATTTCTCTCTAAAATAACTCTTCACTTTCCCCCACAGAGATTTGTGCTCCATTCTACTCTTTCCTTTCAATGAGTCTGTTGATTTATCCATTAATATTAAAAGTATTTTAATAAACACACACACACTGAATCAGCTTCAGTGGAAGACAGCTTTCCTCAGGTAAAATTTGACTAAAGGGCTAGCCAACGTATTCTTTATGTAGAGAATTCTTTACAATCCTTTATGTAGGATTCTAAATCAGAGTGGAGAATCCTCCAAATTAGTGGGTAACCTTGGGCCTGCCCAATGTTCTGATGTAACATTTTGACCATTTCTTACAGCTGCAGGCTAGGACTTAAGGGACTAAAGTCCAAAAACATCTGGAGGGCTAAGTATTTCCCCACCACTGGCTTAGACAGAGACATCCAATACCTTTGGTGTGCTTCTTTTTAATGAATGGGATAGGAAGGAAGAGGGTGTAAATATATACAGTATATGCATAAACTCTCTGGTCTTGTTTTTTTTAGAATATGGAGGCAATACCAATGGACAGCCATGTGTCTTTCCCTACCTATATTTGGGCCGTGCTTATTATACGTGCAACACAAAATTTTCTAGAGGACGTTTCTGGTGTTCTACAACAGGAAGCTATGATAAAGACAAACGGTGGAGCTTCTGCGCTGATACCAGTATGTGACCTGAGGGTTTGTGAACTAGAAGCTGGGGTAGATTTTCCCACATGTTTATGGGATAACTTTTCTTTAAACACAGTCAGACATTGAAAACATCTGCCACACTCAAATTGTTGTCCTCTGTATTTAATGTGCACCAAGATCAGATGTCCACAATGGCAGTGGAACTAGGAAGGGGCTAAAGATGAGTTGAACTATGCTGCAAAGACAACATTTGTTTAGTAGGAGCTGAGATAGAAGGCTGTGATATGTAGAATGGAAGTGTAACAGGTGTCAATAAGCTAAGTATGCATTTACATTTCTCCCTTGGAGAATGAACAATGGGACATAGGCTGAGAAATTGCAAATGCTTATGTATGTATGTATGTATGTATGTATGTATGTATGTATGTATGTATGTATGTATGCATGTATGCATGTATGCATGTATGCATGTATGCATGTATGCATGTGTGCATGTGTGCATGTGTGTGTGTGTGCGCGTGCGTGCGTGTGTGTAAGTACAGTGGTGCCTCGCTTTATGATTGCCCCGCATTACGACGAATCCGCTTTACGATGTTCTTTTTGCGATCGCAATTGCAATCACAAAACGATGATCTAAATGGGGGAATTTTGCTTTGTGATGATCGGTTCCCTGCTTTGGGAACCGATTCTTCACAAAACAATGATTTTTCAACAGCCGGGTAAATAAAATGGCTCCCCGCTGTGTTTAGGGACGGATTCCTCGCTATACAGGCAGTGAAAATGGCCGCCGTATGGAGGATCTTAGCTGGACGGTGAGTTTTAAGCCCCTAGGGAACGTATTGAAAGGTTTTCAATGCATTTCAATGGGCTTTTTATTTTCACTTTATGATGTTTTCGCTTAACAGTGATTTTCCTGGAATGGATTATCGCCGTTAAGCGAGGCACCACTGTATGTATGTATGTATGTATGTATGTATGTATGTATGTATGTATGTATGTATGTATGTATGTATGTATGTATGTATGTATGTATGTATGTATGTATGTATGTATGTATGTGTATTATTGGATTCAAAGAGATCTTGAAGGCCCATTAGTATTTAAACTTCAGCTAGACCATGCTTGACTACTAAATAGGGCTCTGATCACAAAGTGCCTTTCATGTCATTGGACTGGGTAGAAATCTGGTTATAAGAGTAGCTTATCCCCTTCACTGTTTTCTCCCTTCCTCCAGGGCTAGGTGCAAATTACCCTACACAACCATGTGCTCCTACTTTCACCTATGATGGCAAGCTTTACTCAGGCTGTACCACGGCTGGGAGGACCGATGGGAAGCTCTGGTGCTCCCTCTCCAGCAACTATGAAGTGGATCCCAGAGGACTATTCTGTGAGCCCTCAGGTAAACAAAATAAGGGAAGGCAAAGAACCAGGCAAAGTTTAGCGATGCCCCAGAAAGTGCTTTGATTCATGTGACAATAGAGGGAGGTGGAAAGATGTGCTTTTGCTATTATGGAACAGAAACGTCTCATCAGCACTACTGCAGTGCTGTCTCAACATACAAGCTAAGTACACTGTAACTTAGGGCCTCAGGTTATGAAGGGTTATGGCTGTGCAGCCTCTCAAATATGATGTGACCTACATCCACATTGTGTCATGTGAGCTGAACCCAGTCCCTGACATCAGGTCTGAATAAGAAGTGATGCCTTTCACTTTTTCCAAAAAAAAGTAGAGGTGTGCTACCTGTGGCATTAGGAACACATACAGTTTTGGCCTCGTTTCAACAACTTGAGAAAGAATCATTCAGACTTCTGGCAATAGCAATTATTTATTTATTTATTTATTTATTTATTTATTTATTTATTTATTTATTTATTTATTTATTTATTTATTTATTTATTTATTTATTTATTTATTTATTCATTCATTCATTC